GTTGGTCACATTTGTCTTTTTTTCCTACCCTGGCATATGTTTGTGTTTTCATATAGGACTCAAAAATTTTCCTACCTTCTGGGAAGGATATATTTTCTGTTTGCTTTACCTGCAGTATTTCACTTTCCCTCCTGTACACATCACATTTCCGAAAATTCAGGGTGGTCCCCATGACAGTTTGCACATTTTTTTCTCATTCTAGAAATCATCTTCAGCTTGGAATGGGTCTTTCTCCATATATGCCACACACTTATCCTTTACATATGTCGCTGTGGTACCCAAATTTCTGGCATTTGAAGTACCACAAGGGAGCTGATATGTAGAGTTCTACGTTTTTGATAGTGAAACCTATTTTGATTTCTTTGAGAATTATAGATGAATTAAATGTCAGTATGTATGTGTTCGTTAGGTTGCTTTTGCCATTCCTTCTAATACTGAGTCTCTTGTGTTAAGTAATGCCCTTCTTATATAGTGCCACTTTGATCTCCTCTTCTGTTGCCAAAATCAATTTTCGTGTTCAGTCGTTCATGTGAATAAGATTTACATTTGTAATTATGAAACATTTCCATTTTAGTAGGTTTTCTGCCTGTTTTTGCCTGTTCACTTCCACTAAAAGGATTCCATTTCTGAGTTTTTTAACCGATTTTGGGTTTGATCTGCTAGTTATTACCATTTCACTAAAAAAGGGTGATAACTTGCTGAGAGGTATATTTTTGAGTGATTCTATTACTACATCTTTGGAAAACTTGTTCTCTTCAATCTCAGAATTTGAGTCGGATAGATTAGTTTTTTTGTTTAAGGAAGCCATAATTAGTGTTTTTCATTGGTACTGTGTTCCACCACCTACCACAGAGTCCAACTTGTGAATTTACCAAGAGGAACTTATTCGCCTTGGTTGAGATGGAGATCCACTACCAGTATATACTCTAATCGGGAGTAAGACCTCAAGCCTCTGCCAATTTCAGGTTTAATGTAACAGTGATCAAAGTCTCTCAACATAATTGACCCTCAGCTACTTTCTTGTAGCACCTAAAATATCAAAAAGTTTGGGTATTTGCCATAAGTGCATATTGAAGAATACGGTCGGGACTAAACATATAGGTGCTATGGTTTGATACAACTAGTCAATTGATCGGATCGGGCCTGTCCGACCGTCTGTCTAGTCCAAGTAAGTGGTGTGTTGGGAATCAGAACTATCTAGCCCTCACTGTTGAAGCCTTCACCCACCAGGATCTCATCCCCAGACATTACGGGTCACCACCTACGGAAAGCAGGTGCAGTCGGCGTATTTTGCAGCCCCAGGTGACAAGGTGGACTGGCAAAGGTAGGTGTGTCGTTGGTTTGGACTTTGCTCCGAAAGTGGTTGCCCTTAAAGGGTTAGGGTTGAGGTGTGTGCTCCGTGTACATTTTCCTCCTCATCCTTTACCAGTTGTCAGTACTTCCTTTCTGCGAGGACCATTGCAATGCAATTGATCACTTGCTTTTCTCCCTCTTGTAGGGTCGATGCAAGCCAAAAGTCTGCAGAACCGTCTGTGTCCAGCGTCTGGTGCCATGGGGGCTGGAAATGCTACACTTGGGGAGTCACCAACATGCCTCAAGGTTGGTTCTCCTGCGCCGCGTGTTGACAGAAGATTCGCCGTGGGTGAGTTGTATTAGGGACGCCTTTCTTAGCCTTATCTTCACTCCTCCCATTTCTGGGGTCGCGTGAATGGAATCAGCCTTGATTTCCTTTTTTAGTCGCCTTTTGACTCAACAGGGCAGTTTCCTGATGGACCCCTTACCTGGTTAATGTAGACATGTTTTCGTTCTCCTAGCTAATGTGAGTAATTGTTGTTCTCTTTTGTTATGGTCTTTGTTAAGATTCCCAAGTTTGGTTTTATCTACTTTTTATCTTGAGTGTGTCAGCTTTGATTTTTTCCACTCCACAATTTATTTTTGTCCTTCCCTCACCTATAGTAAGTGAGCTTTTTGATTTTGCCTATCGACAGAATACAGCAGCCATTCTTATTTTTCTGTGGGTGGAACAGGTCATGCTAACATATTTTATTTTTTAGTTCTAATGTTTTGTCATATTTTAGTTTCGTTTTTGGGTTCATCCCCTCCTCCATCATTTCATAATTTAAATTATTTTTTAAAAGAGAAAAAAAAAAAAATGAATAAACGAGACATTTGAACATATGATGAAATTTTTATACCATAGGTTTTAGTAGGATGCCTGTGATGATGTGGTATCGTAGTATATGGTGGATTGTATGGTAATGGGTGAGTTTTTGTGGTGAATGAGTGAATTGTAATGAATGAATGAGTCGTGAATCTGATTAATTAGGTGTAGGGTGAGGTTGGTGAAGACCTCACCCTACATACTCTTTGGCCTTGTGCCGCAATTGTATGAAAATACAATAAATACACATTCTCTCTCCCCTCATTTCATGATACATAATTTTATATATTTTTGAAAAAAATAGTAAAAATAAAAATTATAAATATCTAGACATTTTTATACCATGTCACTTTAGTAGGTTCCCCTGTGTGTATGCAGTATTTTGGTAAATGTACGATTGGTTGGTGAGGGATGTGTTCGTGTGACAAATGAGTAAATTGTAGTGGATGAATGGGTCGCAAATCAGACTAGCAAGATGTAGGATAGACGATAAGCCTTCTCCTCTTTCCCTCTGGCCTTGTGCCACACGGGATATAAAATTTCAAATTAAACAGATTAGCTAAGTTTAGGATAGTGAGTGACGACCAGTCTCACCTCACTTCCCCATCGGCCTTATGCCAAAAATTTTATGTAAAAGTACAATAAATATAATACTTCTACCAAGTTTCATTCACGACCACTGCATCTAAACAATATCGAATTTACCACAAAAAACTCATCCATCTACATTTAATCCAATCAAATACCGAATTTGCTTTATGGTCCTACCAGATTTTTGCCTGGTCTCTTGGCTGGCCACGCGACATTTATATTGATTTACTAAGTGAAACTTAGATTTGGCACAAGGCGAAAATCATGGAGCATTTAATGAAGATCAAACCCACTACTCAGTAGTAATTGATCACACGAGATAAGCTTTTTAGGAACCTCCACTAGTTCGCTGAAAAAATATCATATCATGATGAAAAAAGGCCCCAAACTTAATAAAAACAAAGTTTTATCGTCAAAATGTTTGTTATTATTAAGAGGAAAGACCAAATTATTTTTTAATTATTTTAAAAAATTTTTACTACTCAACAGGGCAGTTTCGAAATTCTGGTTAAAAATCTTTTCTTTTTTTTTTTATACATCAGCGGTATAATAGAATTGATTATGGAAATTCTCGTGCCTGTCTCCCGGTAAAATAACTCATTAATTTTTTAATTCTTGCAAAAATCAAATAATTGTTGGATTTTAATGAAAATTTTAGTACTCATTCAAAAATGAATTAATTTATTTTTGAAATTATTATTTTTAGAAAATCTTGGTAATTTTTTTTTTTACTTAATTTCATGAACTTTCTAGAAATTAAATTCCGTACTCAAAATTTTTATTAGTTAAAAGCAGGACTCCTTGGAGAATGCAAATCGTCAGCATTTTTTTTTCAAACTACTGACCCTTTTCCAAATTGCTTTTATAAATTATAGCATCATTAAATATTAATGACATTATAGTCGGGAGAAAAAATTTTTTCGATGAATAATGAATTTTTACAAGAATTGTTTTCATTTTTTTTTTAATTACAATAATTTATAACATTTAAAAAATGTTTTTAAAATTCTTCTAAACTTCGTTAGGTTGTTAAGTGAAGGCTATTTACTTACCGAAAATTGAAAAGCATAATACAAATCATAACGCCCGTATATTTTTTAAATTAATTTTAAATTTATGTGTATAAATGTGCTGATTTTGAAAGTATGTGTGACCATAAACGACATTATCAGAAAATAATATCGAACATGATAGTAAATTTAAAAGCCAACATACCCAAAATTAGATTATTAGAATATTTCCAACATTTTTAAGATTATTGAGTACTTAAAAATTATATAAAAAAAGCGTTTACCCGTCATTTTCTTAAATTATGTTTTAACAGATAATGTTGTCGCAGTGTGCCCAAACACCACTCCCACCGTTTCTTAAACAACCCCGGCTATGCCTGCCGGTAGAGAAAGGTCACGGCCCTTGTGTGCTAAAAATAGCAAACTGACAGAAACACACAAAACTCAATTTTCGCCACTGAACAAAAATAAAAGACCTTTAATTTCGAACCGAAATTAATTTAAATACAGTCAACAAACACCGAACACACTTTTGACTGTAATTAATACTGCCCGAAATTAATTATATTCATTTACTTGTTTAGCGTCACCGCTTTCTCTTGTATGAACCGTCATATCTAGATCCCTGAGACTTCGCAGCGGTATTTAGCCGGCCCGGGGGGAGCAGCCCGGCTTTCGGGCTGGGTTGCGACCCATGGCAAAGTCTAGTTTGGACCATATCAGGCTGCTAAGACAAGCCAAGACCAACTTGGACCAGAACTTGACTGCTTTTGACCAGCTTGGACATGTTATGACCAATCTTTGACCAGTGACCCTATGCGGAAACGCTTGGGTTTTTCCCACGAAAAACGACCTTGTGTCATGACTTGACCGCGTGGGAGCCAAGTAATCCCACGAAAACGACCTTGTGTCACATCTTGACCTCGTGGGAGTCAAGTAAATACCGCCGGCCCGGGGGAGCAGGAAGCCTCTCTTATTCGCGACTTTGACGCGCCCAGTCAAGTCGACCAAGCCTAGCAGCCATCAGCGTAATACCACCCACCAACAGATCCGCCTTGAAACCCACCCCATTCCAACTTCGAGCGGCAAACGGCTCCACCATAGAAACCTATGGGAACAAGGAACTTACCTTGAACATCAACCTCAGGCGCGACTTCAAGTGGACATTCACAGTAGCTGACGTCAGGATACCCTTGCTCGGTGCCGACTTCTTGGCGCATTACAACCTGGCTGTCCATATGAAGACAAGGACCCTGTCCGACAACATGACAACCATCAAGATCACAGGGATCCCATCGAGCTTCAACACAACTAGGATCAGCGTGGCAACACAGCACGACCCACGCTACGTAGAAATCCTGCGACGGTACAAGCACCTCACGCAACCCATCAAACCAACTGATGCAGGCGACCATCAGACCCAACACCATAAAAAGACCACCGGACAACCAGCATATTCATGGCCACGACGACTCCCTCCACACAAATTAGCATATGCCAAGAAAGCGTATGAGGAGTTGCTGGCCGACAATATCATCCGACCCTCAGACAGCCCATATGCCTCACCACTGCATCTGGTACCCAAATCCGACGGGGATTTCAGGATCTGCGTGGATTACCGGAAACTCAACGCGTCCACAGTGCCCGACCGGTATCCTGTTCCGCACATCCACGACTTTGCCTCAGGTTTACACGGGGCCCGCATTTTCTCAAAAATTGACCTGACCAAAGCCTACTACCAAGTTCCAGTCGCTCCGGAGGACATCCCAAAGACAGCAGTCACAACCCCTTTTGGGCTGTTTGAATTCCTAAAAATGCCCTTCGGACTGCGCAACGCAGCCCAGACGTTCCAGAGGCTGATGGACGAAGTTCTGCGTGGACTACCATACGTCTACGCATACATTGATGACATCCTAGTGGCTAGCATTTACTTGTTTAGCGTCACCGCTTTCTCTTGTATGAACCGTCATATCTAGATCCCCGAGACTTCGCAGCGGTTTTTAGCCGGCCCGGGGGAGCAGGAAGCCTCCCTGATTCGCGACTTTGACGCACCCAGTCAAGTCGACCAAGCCCAGCAGCTGACGGGACCCAGCAGCAGCAGTTGTTCAAACAGTCCTTTTCAGGGCTAACTTCCGAAAGTCATTCGATCACCACTCTTCGAGGCTCCACTCACTTCACTCTTCGCCACTGCCTTCCCTCTGACTCCAGCTCACTCCTGCAGCATCCAGCACTCCTGCACCTTCCCGCTCTCCTGCAGCTTCCAGCTCTCTCCTGGAGCTTCCAGCACTCCTGCAGCTTCCAGCACTCCTGCAGCTTCCAGCACTCCTGCAGCTTCCAGCTCACTCCTGCAGCATCCAGCACTCCTGCAGCTTCCAGCTTACTCCTGCAGCATCCAGCACTCCTGCAGCCTCCAGCTCACCCCTGCGGCGCTCTACCGACGTCCCGCTACCTATTCCAGCACCCGCTGACGACCTAATCCAGTGCCCACTGACGTCCAGCGCCCGTTATCGTCCGGACACCGTTCAAACGACCTCTGTCGTCTTACCATCCACCGTTCGCAAATAAAGACACGATTTCCATCGTCTACAACGGACCATCTGCGTTTGTCATCCTTCTTTGCTATTGCCATCTCCTTGCCTTTGTGTTCCCTTTTTAGTTGTACGGTCGATTGGCACTCACACCTCTCGGCCCGCTGCAACAATGTCTCCATAAAACACTAAAAAGTGTCAACACCTCGGAAATCACTTGACGAGCACTTACTCACCGCTACTGTTTGTTTTAAAATTCTATTTCTCTGTTATTTTCAACTTAAAGTAAATAATATTTTTCAAATCTGATTAATACTTTCAGCTAATATTCCCCAAATAAAATTTCAGAAAAGTATATTTTATTTTTGGAAGATTTTTTAATAATGAAAAATTCTTGCGATGATGGCTAAAAGTGCCAGTAATCAGCTATTTTTAGCATTAAAAAAAAATGAATCGATTCCAACCAATAGAATTTCTGTTTGTTACAAACAGAATATTTTGCTTACTGGGAATAGTAAATAAAGTAAGTAAACCTTTAACTTTCAATTAAAACTAAAATGAAAGCCTCAAGAAAGATTTTTTTTATTTATGAAAATTCATTTAAAACATGAGGCATATCGAATTAGTGGAGGTACAATATTTTTAAATTGAAATTTCTGAAAAAAAAAACAGTTCGATTTAGTTTTTTGTTTAATAAAGCATTATAAAAATATCTAAAAATAATAATTTCTGAAGAATAAGAATACTGGTCAGCGGATAGCGTCAGAAGGTAGTCAGGCTGCTGACAGGAAGCTGGTTGCGGCATAAGGAAGTGATGCATCCCACAGATCGGTTCGTAGGAAGGCAGAAAAATAACTTGAACGTCAGATACGAATTTAGTTGTGGTTGGGACAAAGAGTAAAGGGTAGAAAGGTCTCGGCATTCTTAAAAACAACGTCGATGAAAAAGAACAATGAGCACCCTTAGGCCGATCACGAAAGGGAAACTTTAAAAGCAAAAAAATTGCAAAAGATCATTAACCTCCCTAGGATTCTCGCCGAAAAAGAACGTATGTTTTTTCGCTTATCTATTAAGTGGGTGTGCTTTTTTTTTTTTTTTTTTTAGTAATTTTCTTTAAATAGTTTTCGTATCCCCCTTAATATTTTTCTGTCTTGATTTGAAAAATTATATTGTGAATCTTTTTTTAGAGACAATTATTTCCTTGTCCATAATAACGGAAATTTTTGTATAAGCCTTTTTTGTAAAATTTGTACTGCTATCTTGTTTTGTATCAGTTTAATAAATATAAATTTTAAATTTCACGAGTTATTTTCAAGTCTTCGTTATTCTTTGTGCTTTTTTAATATTCGGGATAAGAACGTGGCGTTCTCTTTTATCCCATCCCGACGCGAAAAGAATATTTTATTTGGGACAAATATTAATTATTGCAAAATTAAATTCTTTACGATACACAACCCAGACACAACTTCATTTGTAAACTAATCCTATTACATTAACTATAAATTATAGTCAATGAAGTAAAATGCAATATTCCTAAGTACAATATCCGATGCCCATTTTTTATCTAATACCCTATACGGGCGATATTTACATAAATATAGCATTTTTTAGCATGGAATATATCGACCATGGTTGGGGTTCATCGCCCACTCATTCTTCATGATTAGATTTTTAGATATAATAATTTATTATCATTAAATTTTTATGTCACGGGGCGCGCATTGTAGGTCCCCCTTGAGAGGATGCGGTATTATGCTGTATGGAGGATTGATTGGTGAGGGACGAGTTTTTATGGTGAATGCGCAAATTGTAATGAGTAAATGTGGTCGTGAATCGGATTAGCTAGGTATAAGATAGTTAATGAAGACTAGCCGCAACCCCCTCCCCTTTTTCGGCCTCGTGCCATAATTGTATTTATTACGATAAATATAAATATACCGACCAGGCAAAGATAGACAAATAACTAAATTAAATTAGTAATTAAAATGGCTTCTACTTATTTTCGTCATTGTAGCTGTATAAATGCAGCGACACTACACATATACGCTCGACAAAAAAGCTATATTTGTTCATATGCAGTAATTAACTTTATAGCATTTGTATTTAATCCGTTAAATCCCTGTTAATAATCTTAAAGTTCGGCGGTGTACCTATCATTTGTACCGTCCATCTGACCAACATCGACAAAGGGTGTTCCAATAACTTGGACCGATTTTAAATGTGAATTAAGTTTAAGCGTCTAATGATTTTTTCTTTTTCTTTCAGATTTGATGGACATTTGGGCGATATTATTTTTCACACATAATTGCCATGACTTAAATAACATGATCCAATAGAGAAATAAATTTTCACCAATAACACTGATTTATTTACTGCTGACTTTGATCCGTCTTAATGAAACACCCTTATATATAAGCCGTCTTAATGAAACACTCTTTTTAAAGAAAGATTTACAGCCATTTACTTTGTTTTGATTGCAGAAAAAAAAAAAAAAAGAAACAGCGATGACAAACGCTGTAATTAAAAGTTTGTTTTTCTGGCCTTCCTCTACTTAAAATCTCGATTGACAAAATCAAAATCTATTTGCAAAATCAAAATCTATTTTAGCATTCCATATGCTAAAACTAATTTTTCATGCGACTTAATTATACTAAATGTCACCTCCTACCATCACCCCGACACACTTGTTCAGTTGGGTTAGACCGTCCCTCTCGCTCCCTTTTAGAACAGCTAATGTTGAAGTTGAAGTCATAAAAGTAGGAAATAATGCAAATTTCAATCTTTCAAGGATATTTCTTTAGCAAATTGCAAAATCTACTTTCACGAGTGAATCGAGCGACAAATTTTATCAATTATGTGTGAATGGAAATAAGAGATGGAATTTTCATTCTAACGATGCATTTTGTGCAGAACTGAAGATATGTAAACCTCTCTTATATGAGTGACATACACACACACACACACTTTTTAAGCAACAGCACACCTAGGAGCAAATGAAAATATCATGGCACACTTAGCAAAATCTTTAAAAAATATACATTATGAGATAAAACCATAGCTTTTAAAAATTATTATTTAGTGAGAAACCTGTACCTGTTTTTTTTTTTTTTTTCGCGATTTCTTCAATGTTTGGTCGAATGTGCAATAATTCTTCTTCAGTTGAGCGTAGTATTATTATTTGAAAAAAAAGTTCAATATTTATTCATTTATTCAAATACAAACGCTGTACTAATACTACTTACACACACACATACACACACATATTGATGCCTGGATAATATTTCGCGGCACTCTTAAGAGGATCGCACGTCACAAGAGTGTGTCGAATCACTGATCTAGCGTAAGTTGAATATAGAAAAATATTATTTTTTATAAACAAGAAGTTACGTTTACAAATTTAATATTTGGAAGGATAAGTCATTTCTAATATTTTATCATTTCGTCAAACTTTTGAAAGTCTGTCGAGCAGAGAACTCTTCAGCATTCCCTTCTAACATTAACATAACTTATTCTAAATAAATTAAATTCTCAAAATAGACTTTTCTACTAATTCAGCGATTTTTTCGCAAAAACATTCCAACATATTTTATATTTTTACAATTCAAAATTTCAAGTGATGATGGAAATATTATTTATGCTGTTTATTTAAGTAGTTTAAAGTTTTAAGAATCGTTGTTTATTCTCAATGTCTTTTGAAAGAATGGTATTGGGTTGGAATAAAAGTTCGTAGCGGTTTGTAAGTGAATTTCAAAGACAATAGATATTTGTATATAGATTTATTTAGCCACATTTAGTCATTTTGTCCCACTAACTTTCGCCATCTTTGAGGCAGCTTCAAGATTCCGTCCTCCCAGAATTAATCTAAGCGTTTTTTATAGGGTTTCAAACAGAAGTACTTCAAATTAAGATAATTTTGTAGAGCCCCAAATAAGTAGTAATCCAAAGGTGCAAGAGATCAGGTTAGTACGGCAGGCGTAGTAGGACATTCCGGTAAGCTGCTCCTATTTCTGCCAGATCTGCAAATAGACGCGAGGTCTGGCGTTGTACCGATGGAAGATAGGACCCTTCGGATCGGCCAGTTCTAGACTATTTTCATCGAATCCTGTCTTTAATCGGTCCAATCGAGAACATTACTTGTCTGAATTCAACGTCTAATTCTGCAGCAGGAACTCGTAATCCTACCAGATTTCACTTCATTCCGTTTTCCCTAGGACCTTTTTGTTCTACATTGTTGTAAACAATCCACTTTTCATCACCTTTGATTTTTTTAAAAATGGACCGTTTTTGTTACGTTTGAGCAACCATACTTTTTAACCACCAAGTTCGGACCGACGCTTCTACCTTTAGAAGTATCTCCAACCAATTTTCCTCCAGCTGGAAATCCTGCTCGATCCACATTCCAAGAATGCAACGCCTTTCTAAGCACCTAACATAAATCCGGAAAACATGTCGCGGTTAACCTTGGCCTCCGTGATCTTGTACCGTTCAAGGGCCTTCGTCTCGATGTTGCTGCGGCACGACATGAAAATGGATACGTACGCGGAAACCCTGATTCGAGCTCCACCAGGGGATTCTACCTCGACCGCTACCCGCTCACCTGTACCACCTCACTGGGGAGAGATACAGCAAGCTGATCCACTTGCAGAAGTTTAGTTTCAATTCAGCGGCCTACAGGACAGCTGTCAAGAACTGATGGTGGATCCTGTCGAACGCCTTGGAGTAATTCAAATTGATCAGCACGGTTTTATCGTCGTTTTCTACTCCCTCTGTGATCATGCGGATCAGGTGCAGATTGCTCTGAATTTGTTCGGCCCTTCACAGCACAAGTCTGCTCCGGCCCCAACAGAATCTAGGCAATTGACTGCAAACGCTTCATCAGAAACTTGGCAAAAATGTCTAACACCGTGTTTAGCATAGTTATGGGCCCGTAATTGTCTAAATCCCGCCCAACATGCGCTTGTTTTTCAACAGCGTGATCTCACTTCTGGAGATCCGATCGGAGACGGACCCCTACCGGAACCAGTTGTTGAGCATCAC